CTTCTGTGATTCTGATGGGCTTTCCTTTGTATGTGATTTGTTTCTTTTCTCTAACTGCTTGTAGTATTTTGTTCTTCTGTTGGGTTTTTGGAATTTTTGTGGTTTTTTTTTTTTTTTTGTGCCAGGGATCAAACTGAGGACCTTGTGGTTTTTGAGGCAGGTGATCTGGGATCTTAACTATTATATGTCTAGGTGTAGATTTTTTTGGATCACATCTGGTAGGAGTCCTATATGCCTCACTTATCTGTATGTCAAGTTCTTTTCCAGTGCTTGGGAAGTTTTCTGCCATTACTTCTCTGAACAGTTTTTTTAATATCATTTGCTCTCTCTCCTGCTTTTTCTTTGACTCTGATTAGTCTTATGTCATTCTTCTTTGCACTGTCTAGCAGCTGCTGGATTGATTTCTTGTGGTCCTTTGCTACTTTTAAGAAATTTTTCTTTTCTTGGTCACTAATTGAAATACTGTCTTCTATATCTGATATTCTGCCCTCACAATGGCTCATTCTGCTGTGTAAACTATCAGTGGAGTTTTTAATCTCCTGGATATATATTTGTATGTGTGTTATGAATTCCATTTGTCTACCCTGCTGGGATCCCATCATGTTCCTCAGCTCCTCTATTTTTTTTTATCTGTGTCTGCTCTAGAGTTATTAATCATTTCTTGCACTATGGACACAATCTCTGTTGTTACTTACCCTGAGTTCAATCCTCAGTATAAAAAACTTTTTAAAAAAGTTTTATTTATTAATTTTTTAATGCAAGTTTTTATTTGGCTGTATATACAATTTAAGCTATTAAAATCTGTATAATATTTACAAATTAAATACTCATCTGAAACTGTCTCCAGCCACTCCTGTAATACAAAACTGGTGGGAAGAAAGACAGGGCCAGGCAGGCCTCAGCTCCCCTGTTCCCTTCTTGTCCCAGAGCCTGTTCTAAACTAGAAAAACCACGAGCCAGCATTCCTGCTCCTCCTTTATGGGGTCAAACATTCATATTCAAAAGACTGATTTAAGCCAAAAGCCAGGAGGTGAGGAAGTAGCTCCAAACCGGACCCAAGAAAAGTCCTGCAGCCAGAGATTTAGCTCAGTGGTTCCGCCGCCGCCTGTCCCCGAAGGCAGAAGGACCCGAGTTTGATCCCTGGTACAAAAAAAAAAGGAAAAGAAAAGTCTTTCAGGCTCAGCAGTGGCCTTCTTAGATTCTGAGTTGCAGTTGTTGAGGCACAGCACACCAGCCCTCAGCCCCATTTCAGCTCCGCAGTGGTGCTGGACGAGGCAGCCTCACCTGAGAAGCTGCAGGGAAAAGGGCCTGGGGGAGGGGTGGGGCAGGGTCCCTCAGAGCTGCTGGCCTGCCCCCCACCCCCAGGCACTCCTTTCCCTGAGTTGTGTGGTTGCCAGTAAGATGTGGAAATGCCAGAGAGTATGGAGGCACAGTTAACACCACAAGGGGCTTCTGGGAAGATTGAGGTACAAAGAGGAAATTGGTACCAGTCTTGGCAGGAAGGTGAGCAGCAAGTTCTTGGCCTGCCTCCAGCCCTTCCAGGATCCACACTTGTGAATGAAAGCTAATATTGTTTGCCACAGCAGCGTAACCCCTCACACACAGTAGGGCTCAGAGGAGCTGCCCTTCCCCTAGAAAGGGTGGGGAAGAAGAGGGTCTCAGAAGCTGAAGTTTCTGCCTTCACAGTCCCAGCAGGGCTCTAGCACAGCAGAGTGCTGCAGAGGTGGAGAGGATGGATGGAACTGACCAGAATCCCCAAAAGGCCTTTCCACCTGGCCTCAGGAATGCTGCTTTCTCTTCCTCCGAGCTGGGGTTACGACTCCATGGTCAGACAGAGGGAGCTGGCACTTGGTGGCAGGATGTATTCCAGTAAGGGCTGGTCAGGAGAGTGGGGGCAAAGCTGGAGCAGTGTCAGTGGATGACAGGGGACTCGAGCTTTTGTAGGCAGCACCAGTGGAGCTCTGCAGCAACCGGCTTTCCATCCTCAGGTAGCTTCTCGGTGCCAACCGACTCAGAAACTGGAGGGTTCTCAGTTCCCTGGGCTGGTGAGGAGACTTCTGGGGTTGAGGTGGTGGCCTCAGAGCTGGGGGTGCTGGTGGAGGCAGCAGCAACCACTGTGGAAGCAGTCTCTTCTGTGGGGCTGACTGAAGTGGCAAGCTGTGGAGGGAGTGGGGCAAGGAGGCAAGCACAGTGGCGTCCAGCGGTGTGCCTTCCAGAGCCTGAAGCTTCTCTGAGGTCAGCCCAGCAAAGCCTGAAGGGTGCACAGGCATGGGGGTGGGGGAAGCAAAGGGTGGAGGCAGGGTCATGCCCATCCAGGGAGGAGGGAAGGGGAAGGCCATGTCAGGTATGGACAAAGGAGCCCGATGTCTTCCCAGCCCTGGCTCGTACACCAGGCTCGGCCCCCTGTCCCTCCAGCTGCTGACCCCTGGGGCTGTCTGAACCCCCCCATGGCCTCTGGGGACCCCTGGAGGCCTGCTGCCTCCACAGGGCCCTCAGTTGACTCATGGGGTAGGATCCCAGCCTCCGAAGCAGAAGGGCCCATGCCCAACTCATGGGGAGGCTCTGAGGGCAGGGCACCCATCAGCGGACCCTCAGCCTCTGATCCCTGGGAACCGTGCACCAGCCTTCTTGTAACCCTGGGGAGGGTCACCTGCCAAGCCAAGCACCAATGGCACTGCAGCAGTCGGGGGTTTTGACACTAAGCCTGATGAATTCTCAGACTTCAACTGACTCCTCACCACTCTGGCAGCCTTGGAGAACAGCACCGGGGAGCTGGAACAGCTAGCAGGAGAGGCGCCACCTGCAGCCCAGGAGCCTTCCGCATGAGTGGGGTCAGGGGTTCTCTGCTGGAGGCCACAGGTAGCACCCCCTAGCCACCCTGGCCCCCACACCCCTCACACAGAAGACCTCAGAGTCATTACTGGGCCCCAATACAGCCCTCCTGCACCTGGGCTCCCTGGTAAGCCAGCCGGCCTGCTCTGCCAGGAGCCAAGGCCTCAAAGCTTTTCCTGCTGAGTGGAGCCCTGGCAGCTGGCCCTTCTATAACTACCCCTTCCAGCCAGCACCCCCTGTGACACCTTGAATCAGCTCTGCCTCAGTCCTGTGCCGCCCCCCCCCCGGGTACTGCCCACCTGTATCTCTCCCCTTAGCGGGGAGGGCCTGCCATCCATGATGCCTCCTGGCCTCCTGGCCTCCTGGCCCCCGACAGTAACCCCTTCCTCCTATATTTTATTTTATTTTTTCATCTTATTAATACAGTGCTTATCCTCCTCTGTCAACCCTAAGCCAGTCACTTTCCCCAGTCAGCCTGGGGAGGTATATGGGAAGGAACATATAGGGCAGATGAGACATGGGAGAAAGAACTATGTGAAGGCTTTTTCATATGGTGAAGAGGATGAGAAAGGCCACCATCAGGCAGAAGAGCCGGATGGCCTCTGAGGGGGCAAAGCCCAGAATGGCATAGGAGAAGAGCTGCTGCTTCAGAAGTGTTCTTGGCATAACCAATGATGAGGCTCCCAAATACAGTCCCAATCCCAGCCCCAGAGGCAGCCACCCCAGCTGTGGCAGCCCCAGCCACTATGAACTTGGCTGCCATGTTGATGTCCCTTGAAATGACTCTGGTTTGGAAGCTGCAGCTAGGGACAAGTGAGGTCAGGGGACAAGGAACTGCAAAGCCGCTGAGTCTCTGTCAGGGTTTTGGTCTGTTCAACATGACTGCAGACAGTGGCTGGCTCAGCGCAGGGAGGTGCTCTGGACCAAAGAGGGGGTGGAGACAAACCTGGAGCAGATGTACATTTTCAGGGGTGAGAGACTGGCAGGAGAGCTGCTCCCAGTGCAGAGAAGACAGAGCTTTTTTTTTTTTTTTAATGACGAACACTGTTGTCATGTTTATTTCTAATTACAAGACATACAATATCCATCTCATACTCTTGGTGTGAGGCTATGCTTAGGTCCTGAATCATGTCATTCAACCCTGATTTTCAGGCTGGTCTGTGTTTAGGGTCATACCATGGTCTGGAAATCCCCATTAGGCCCTTATGTCTGGGAATGCAGGTCTGATGTCAGAAATTTGAGAAGCCAGAAATTTAGATTTTGCATTTTACAGCTTTCTTTTCCTTCAAGCTCTAGACCCAGCTTACAGTGAGCCTTAGAAAAGGGATGTGTGTCATGAACATCCCACTTGGATCAATACATGCTGAATGTACATATATCCTCTATATGCATAGATATGTACATGCATCCAAGGCCTGAATTCTTGGTATATCATACATCCGCATATGGAACATATGTGATATGAGGTGAATATGGTAAGGGTTGTTGGGTATAGAACACTGTTATTCTACAGAGATCTTCCGCAGTTGGCTCCTTTTCCTTCAATATGTTAAACTGGGCAGAATAATCATTAATCCAAGTTAAGTCTCTGCTTCTAACCTGAATTAGTACAAAATTAAGACATTACCTGTGAGAATTAAAATTCATTTAAGATTTTTATTTTAGACTGAAAAAACAAAAACAAGCAAACAACCAAAAAATGTGAAATAGGCTCATCAAATGATGTAAATTCATCCTTTCCAGGAAAGCAGAAAGTAGACCTTACCACAAAGATGCTTAGTTAATAGATGTTAAATTTAGAAATACACTAAAATAGTATCAGTTTAACTTCTCAATATTCTAGGTTTTATTCACTTCCCTGTGGTAACCATAACCATGTAAGTTAGGAGGATCCCAGGAAAGGCCCAGCAGCCTGCACACATCAGCAAATTCCCAGGGTCCCTACTCAAAAGAAGATTTCTATAAGGGACTGGAGGGGTAGACGCAGCTCAGGGTGAGCAGGCGTGCAGCGCACACAAGTGAGAAGCACCCAGGGGCTCCAACACCAGAGCACTGGGCTCCATGTTCCTTGTCCCTTGCAGGGCACCTGGGAACAAAGGGACCTGAGGAACTGCTGGATCCCACTGATCCGGGGTCTGCCGAGCCTGTCCTTTCCATACTGCAATTCCGCAGGATTTGCTTTCTGGTCTGGTCCCATTTTGTGCTGTGGAATCCCCACCACCAAACTAAGGCCAAACTGCATAAAGAGGGGCAGTGTCTCTGCTCAACGGCCTCCCCCAGGAGAGCGTTGAGGTTCCTTTGCCCTGAGTGCAGGGAAACCCAAGTGTACTTCACTGTGGGCGACAAGGACTCCAGGTGACCAATCCTGCAAAGTGATGGGAGGTGCGACCCAAGACAAGAAAAATCTCTGAAAATAGTTCAATTCCAGCTCGGCAGAATGGATCAAGTAGGGAAGCTGAGCACTTCCTGCTTTTCCCTGCCCCTGAGACCTCAGAGGCCACCTCTGCCTCCACAGCCCATGACCCTCACACTCACCAGGTGGACACTCCCTCCCGCACCACTTCCTCTTGGTTGCGGATGTCTTCAGGTCCTGCAAACCCAAACACATGCACACATACAATAGTCATGACCTGAACTCACCTCAAGACCCAGTACAAACCCCGGGGCCAACGGAAGTGAATGAATGGCTCTCTCAGTGAGACAACAGGACACCTGGGGGAACATCCTCAGGAGACTCAGACTGTCCCCTAAGGAATGGGGAAGACTTCCTCACTTCTGTCCCTGGGCAAACCATGAGAAACAGAATGGTACCAACGCATGCATACAGACACCTGGACACAGGGAACACAAGAGAGGGTGCAGAAACAACCCCCAAAACCCTCAGACACTGCATCTTGGGCAAAGGAGCCAATAACCTAGGCTGGAGAAAACACAGGCCATGGGAAAACTGGTGGTCCACGTGCGCAAGACCGACTCTGCCCATCTGTTTCACCCTGTGCTGAAAGCAAACACCAGTGGATCATAGATCTGGGCATAAAAACACAAACTCTGGGAGAAGATATAGCATAGCCATGGACATCCTCAGCAGAATGCCCACTGTATAATAACAAGCTACAAAATCTACAAATGGAATTGTATTCGATCATAAAGGTTCCTCGAAGTAAAGGAAACCAACAAGAGAATGAGTAGAGACCTACCAAATGGGAAAGACATTTTTGCCAGCCAATTCCTCAGACAGAGGGGGAATATCTAGAAATAGCAGAACTCAAAAACATCCAATGTTAAATATAAAAGGTCCTGATGTGCCCACTGTGGGACACACCTGACCTCTGTGCTTCACTCCTTTCCTACAGCTTGACTCACGGCACTAACTGAGCAACTGAAACCAACACATCCTCGACAAAAGCAAGAGAAATGGTCAACAGGCACAAGACAAGGAATACCCCTAAAAACAACACAAGTCTGTCTTATTCCAGCAAGAATGTCTACCATGAAGAAGAAAGGCTTGAGAGCTTGTGTGGAAAAAGGACCCTTCTGCTTTGCTTGGGAGAATATAAACTGGTAGCACCTCAATGGAAATTAGTGTGGACTTTCCTCAAAAAACTCAGAATCCCACTGGACCCAGCTACCCCTCTCCTGGGCATCTGCACGAGAGAGTGGAAGTCATTGGAACACAGTGCTGCATGCACACACATGCTTACCGTTTTGGTTGACATCTAGATGTCCCCCCAAAGCCTTCTGTGCTCAGAGGCCGTGCGTGTTGGAAGTGACTAGATCTGGCCTGTGATACGGGGCACTTGGCTGGGGCTAGAACTCAAAGGTAAGAGGATTCCCTACCACTGAAAATAGCATCAGTAGTATTTTTAAAAATCACGAGATAGCACCAACAAAAACTTCCTGGGTATAAAAAACATTTAGAGCAAGAGTTCAGGATACATGGGTAATACACAAATCAACTGCTCTGTCATCTGTATCAGGAACAAACACATGGAATTTGAAGTGAAAACACATGGCCATTTCTATTAATAAAATAAATAAAATTCTAATGCATGAACCTAGCAAAACAGGTATAAGGAAATGACTTGACCAGCTACACAAATGCAGACATAATCCACATACATGAAGAAAGCTCACAACTGTCAAAATTACTCCATCTACCAATTCTAACCAATTACAATATAAAACCATCTGACGATTTTGAAGACATCAGATAGATTCTCAAGTTTATTTGGAGTCGAAAGACCAGAAGAGCAAACACAACACTGACAGAGATCAAAGTGAAAGCTCTGGCAGGGTTGTGCTGGGAGGACAGGCAAGGATGAGCACTGAGAACAGAGCCCAGAACCAGGCCTCACCAACAGAGCCCGCCAAGGAGCTGGGGCCAATCACAGAGAAAGGAGAGTCTTTAATGAGAGGTGCTGGAACAAGTGGACAGGTGCCGAGGGCTGATCAGACCCCTGGACAATTCCAAGGGGGGACAACGGGGAAGAAGGAGAAACAAAGAAATATCCAAGATGCAAGGGGACCTGGAAGAGACAGCCTCTAGTGGACAGACTTGACAATCTCCATGGTTGACCGGCTTTTATTAGCCAGCGAGAAGCACAGGCAGAGGGGTTCATGGAACAGTAATGGTTGAAATGACATTTGAATAATAGGGAACAGGTTACACTTTTACAACGGGAGTGTGTGAAAGGGAACAGGCTCTTCTCTATACTGCGATGCCTGCCCAAGTTAATATGGAACTACCATTCTTTACACTGTCCTCGGCAGATGCTATCTTCCCACAGGAGTAGGGAGATTACGAGCATTCTCCATACAGCTTTCTGGATGCTTTTCTGTTTCCCAAGGCAGGTTACATCAGCCTTGGGACTGTGGGGCATAAGTCATACAATTTGGCCCCAATAATTCCTCATATATCCTGGTCCTTGACAGGCAGACACTGGCCATACAAAACCAACTCTAGACAAAGACCTTACAGTTTCCCAAAAATTAAATCAGAATGGATTATAGATATAAGATTAAAAACATTTTTCAGAAAAGAAAAGACAACAAAGAAGAAAATCTCTGTCAATTGCCTCAGGGCATCTCTTAGCAAGAACAAGAGGGCAGTCCACAAAAGAAAAGGAGTAAGTTGGACTGTGACAAATCTGACCTCTGCTCTGTGAAGACACTGCTGAGACCGCTCAAAGGTGAGCCACACGCTGGGAGGAAATCTTTGCAAATCGCATCAGGGATGATACTCGGAGACTGGGTCTTTGGGGATCTGGGTGAGGTAGGGATGGATACTTGGGTGGACACAGTGGACTTTTAGGGCAGCGAACCGTTCTGCATGACACTGGAGAGGGCCTGACAGTGAACCTGACAGACACTGCAGTCATTAGTTACTAGTAACTATCACTGTGGCTCCTCACAGGGAAGGAAACGCAGCAGGCTGGCTGTGTCAGAACGGGGAAATTCTCTCCGAGGGAGGTGCTGAAGTCTCCCGGGTGCTACAGGATCGAGGGCCTAAACCAACCCCAAGGGGCGAGAGAGTCGTTCTCTTTCCTAAGTGCATTTTGACGATTCTCTTCCCACATAAGACAGTGAACAAGACCACGCAATCCCTTTTCTGTACATCAGGAGACAGGAATTCAGGAAAGATGAAGTGATCAGTCACACACTGAGTACAGAAAGCCGTCAGGCTGGAGCTTGGGAAATTTTCTTAGTCCAGAATGATATTTATTCTAACGAGCTGCCTCCTGCCACATTCCCCTTCATGGCTTTAAAATGCGACGGGATGCTGCCACCTCAAGACAGGCCAGGTTCTATCAGGGACAAAGCACACCGGGATGCTGAGACCTCCATGCTGTGTATTCATCCCATGTTCCCACAGGGGCACTCCTGAATTTGCCATGGCTCTAAAGGACACGGGTACCAGGACAGCTCATCAAACAAGTCACCCTGTGACTGTAGTGACCCGTAATTACAGCTCAGCAAAATTAGGGCCTGAGGCCTCCTTACCTAGGTTGAGCATGTGGACGAGCTGCTCTGCCAGCCTGCACCCTGCAGCCAGTCCCTGTAGCCAGCTGTGCTCAGTGTCAGGGTGACTTCGACTGAGGAGGACCTCCAGAGACTCCTTCAGCAGCAATGACACTGCTCTCCCTTCTTTCAGCTTCCTGGTTAACTCAGAGAGCTCCCGTTTCTGCTCTCGAATGAGCAACATGGACGCCCTAGGAGGGAGAGAAGCAGCAATGTGAACCCACAGAGAGATGCGTGGGCTTTACAGAGGCACTGAGAGAGATTTTGTGACAAGATCCCCAAGGCCCCTCAAGCCGAACTCAGGCATGTGTCTGGACAGTTCCCTGTGGCAAAGGAAAAAAAGAAGACAAATTAAAGGGCTCTCCTGCATCACCAAGTGCTCCTGTAGGATGCCTGACACTGCCCTCATCTCCTCTTCTGTAATCAAAGCCAGGTGTCCCAGGTCGCCTGTCTGAAGATGTCCTGTCACTTCTGCATTTGGCCATGGAAGTGTCTGGGTCAACAGAGACACAGGGCCCTGGGCAGAGCTGGGATGCACACCCGACACAGACACGTGTCCGGATTCAGCTGGGGTAGCTGGAGAAAATGGAAGACCAGAGCTCTGCAGGCTCAGGAAGACAGATTCTTCTGAATGGAGGACGCACCTTCACCCCTCAGCAGGTGACCGGGAGGAAGAGGGATGAGGGAGGGACTGCAACACATCACAGGCTGCGACCTCAACAACCGCCACATCGTTACTTTCATTTGCTTAGTTTTAAATTGGTTTTTTTTGGTACCAGGGATCAAACTCGGTCCTTGCGCTTGTGGGGTAGGTGGTGGAAACACTGAGCTAAATCACTGGTGGCTTAGTTTTATATTATGTGAAAGTGAGCTCAATGTATTTTTAAAAAGTGCAAATGAGGGTCTTCTGAACAGTCCTAGTCCAACAGCTACCACCTGTTTCTTCCCCACATATAATGGTGGAGCCTGTGGTTATGAGGCTTCTGCCCTCCCTGGAGCACACAGCTCTTGGTTCTCACACCTGAGCTGCCCTCTTCAGGGACTCGCACACCTTCCCCCCACCCACCCTGCACACACCCCTTACCTGAGCTGCTCGGTCAGGGGAAGCTCCGCAGACAGCTGCTGCTCTTTGGGCTGCGGCTTCTCCCCAAGCAGAGACTCCACATCATCTTTGTACTTTACACCTCCTGAGAAAAGAGATGTGTCTGCCTCAGTGGACAGCTGGACACGTGGCTGTGGACACCACCTGCAGAGGAGGCCATGCCTATCACAAGGACAGCTCAGCACCAGGCTCTCTGCCACCATCACCGTATTTTGATTTCCTACTCTCTCAAACAGGTAGTGTCTGATGGTCTCCATTAGAGATAAGGACAGGGAAGCTGTCAGGCAAGTATACTGACAAATGACTGACGGTGTGACAGAGTCAGAACTCACATCCCCAAGTCTCAATGGGTGTCCAGGACCACTGGAATGGCCAGGCCTGCAGCCTCTGAACTCACACCCTTAGCTGGGCATGAAGTGGTGCCAGCTCTATTCTTGGAGTAGAGCTGAAAGTTCCCGTGGGATGGGATTCCTGTGAGGAACATGGTTCTCAAAGACAAAAAGAAAAAATCTTGCCTGGCAATGTGTATACAACGTGCGGCAAGACAGCGTAAGGAGCAGAGAGTAAATACCCAACACTGTAAAGCTGGTGCTCAGGTGGAATAACAAGGCCCACCGTGAGTGGGTGCCTGTGCCGGGCACTGTTGTAAGAGTGTCACTACAACTAACTCAGTGCTAGCTCACTGCGACCCAGTGATGGAGGGACTGGTGGAGCCCACAGAACAGGAGGAGCCTGAGGGCACCAAGGAGGAGACTCCTGGATTAGAGCACAGGGACACCCCGGCAACCGCGCTCCACACACGTCCTCCACAGGGCCTGGGGATGGCTTTCTCCTCTGTCACCCTCAACATCTTTTCCTGCACTTCAATCTGATGCTGTGGATGACATGAGTGAAATGCAGTTGGCCTCTTCCCAAAACTCACCTGGAGACTCCTTCACATGGTTCACTTTTTCTTGAGTCCCTCTCAACTCACCAAAAACCCCTACCAATGGATTGTTGGAAGGAACACTAGGTCAGTGTGAGGACTTCAGGCTCAGAGCGAGTGACGGTCCCTCTGGTGATGGCGCTGGGCCAAGCGCCATCCCTGACTCCTCAGTCACCACAGCCCCTCTCCTGCACAGGCCAATGGGCTCTATGGGGCCAGGTGTGGGAGGGCAGCGCCCTGCTCGTGACCCTGGCTGGACCACAGCTGGCCTCCTCCACACCCCCTCTCCTGCAGCCCCACGTCTCAGAGCTCAGGCCCCCGAGGTGTACCTGGGCCTGCTGCTCAGCCCCTCCCGAGAGTCCACCAGCCCTTGGAGAGACAGACAGGTGCCACATTCTGCCGTCCCAGACACACCCTCCACTGACAGGCACGGCTCTCCTGGACACCTAAGAGCCTGTGCCCCACGAAGCAGGTCTTCCCCAATGCCATTCAAGTCCCTGGTCTCCATGGCAACAATGGTGGCTGCCATAGGTTCAGTTAGGAGCAGAATCCCCCCAAGCTCCTCTGAAACCTGTTGCCCCCAGCTTTCCCTGACATAACCAGCAGGTGCCGTGCCCACTCAGACTCCACAGAAGCTTCAGGGCAAGGCGAGGGCCCTGGTCCCAGAACAGTAGGCCAAGAGTAATGCTACACATCTGGAGGATCTGAGAGGGGACACAGAGGGTCCTCACCAAAATGGCCTGACCCATTCTTGAGAAAAGCACAGCATTCCCTGCCTTCAACAGGAATGGGTAACTGGGATTTTTACCTGGGTCCCACCCCACTCCTCACTCTGAACTGGGAAACACTGGTAAATGCTTTGAGCCCCAGTTTTCCATCCAGATGGAGGGCAAGATACCAACTTCTACCTTTCTACAAATATGGGAAGGTAAATTAATTTCTATAAAGTGAAGAAAAGAATCACTTTTGGAGACTATTTTTCATGTGTGGAGAGAAAACAGAACCATTTATCATCCTGCTCACTGTGAACCTACACAACTCACCATGTTTCTGCACTTTGGTGTCCAGGGAGCCGAGAGCTGCTTCAGGTCTAACAGAACTTGATCTTCGGTCTTCAAACTGCAGTTCATTCTCTCCCACCCAAGAACACTTATACTCCTTGAACTCCACAACATTCACTTCAGCCCCTGGATTGGGGCTGAGTGGTACTGCCATGGTGACCTCGGTAGCAGTAGATGTACATCCAAGGACTGTGGAGAAGAAATCCAAACACAACCTGGGTTAAAATCAAAGGAAATCAAGCTGGGCACGGTGACACGCGCACTTGGGAGTGTGTAATCCCAGCACTTGGGAGGCTGAGGCAGGAGGATTGGTGTGAGTTAGAGGGTAGCCTGGACTATGTAGTGAGTTCACATCCAGCCTGAGCTACATAGCAAGATCCTGTCTCAGAAAACAACAAAAAGGAAATCAAACAGGTTGGATCAGGAATGAAGGAGGACAATAACTACACTGATGAACTCACTGTTGGGAACAAATTGATCAACACCTCACAACACTTGAGAATTTCACTGTAAAAACAAGTATCCAGAATCCGAGGTCAGAGCTGAAGGTACTGCCTGTGGCTCAGACTAGACACGAGTGAGGCAGTTATGGCCCAGTGTGCCTGGCAACGGCTGACAGTTAAGGCAGAGGATTAGAAGGTGGGGAGGTCATGGAATTCCAAGGAGCCCCTCCCTTCCAGTTGTCCAGGCTGTGCTCATACACAAGGGCCCCCGGTGGCTTCAGAAAGTCCTCACCGTCATATGAAGAGCTCCCACTCATCCACCATCCCCAAAGGCTGTGCACCCTCGGGCTCATCCCAACAACCACTTTCCCCCAAAAAGTAGGCATATTTCTCAAAAGAGTTCACACTTCTCATGTCTAACACCATCAAAACACAAATTGTTTCCCAACAGTTTACAGTTTCTTTAGGGTGGTCTGGAAGTGACTTTGTCCTTTCTTTATCATTAAAACAATTCTTGAGGGTTTTGTTGACATCTAAACTGTAAAGCTAAGGAAATGTAAACATGTCAAACTATCAGGACTTTTTTTCTCTGAATATTCACCCCCTCCAGGTTAGCTACATAGCCCAAGCCAGCCTCAAACTCATGGAGATCCTCCTGCCTCAGCCAGCCTCCCGAGTGCTGGGATTACAGCCGTGTGCCACCATGCCCGGCATCATCCATTATTTCTAAACCCATGAAATGTGTAGAACAAAGAGCATCACATGACACAGAGACATTACTAAATTAGTAAGGCTTTAATTTTTTGTATTCATCAATATTATCCTGGCTACTAGATGTCCTTTTTATGTTGGCGGCTTCTCTCTTCATGGGAAAACTGTTGGCTTTTCCCATAGCTGAGTTTGATGTCACTACCACTTAGCCTCCTCCTCTAGATTGGGTTGCTTTTTGTGGTTGTCTTTTTTAATGCCACTAAATTGTGATTTCTGGATTACACCTTAGCCCCACAAGAGCTTTTCCCAGCTGTCAACGTGATTAAAAATATTTCAGTACCAAACCTTGAATACTTGGGAGTTTCGGTTTGGGGAAGACAAGTAAACAGAATGGTATTTGTATGTCTGCATTTAGTTCACTGCAGACTGGAACAAAACATGGCCCATCAGAAGCTGTTACTGGACACCACTGATAGACATGTGGTAGCTAACCCAGAGCTGCTGACCGGCTGAATCCCATGAGCACAACGCGGTAAGTCACGGCCAGGAGCCTGGTTGGTGATGAGCCACAGCACACATGTGTCATGGGGCCCAGTGACACCAAGGCTGAGGTTGAGGAGGGCGGCTTTTTCAGCACCCATACTTTCTCAGCACCCATTCCCACCTAGGTATCGTGAGCCTGCACCTTCTGCAGAGATGCTCTGCTCGCATGGCCAACACTTTGCAGGTTAGTGGTTAGACTTCCTGATTCGGGGGGCAACAGGTGTGATCCTGGACCACAGAGCATCCATGTTCAAGGGAAGGAAGGGGAACTGGGCCAACACCTGAGGAGGCCACCTTCACCCCACACCATCCTCCAATTACACCATGGGATGCCAGTGGTTTTCAGACGACCTCAGATTCTGAAGAAATCCCAGGCCTCCATGAGAGAAGTATATTGGTGAGAAAGTAGAGGATAAACTTAGTGCAGATGACTTCAGACCCTCAGCTACAAATTTAGTGCCTAGTGGATCATATCTGTACCACACACCCTTTTCTAACACACAACATTCACCCGAGCCAGCTCCTTGGCGGTACCAAAGTCCTTTTCTCTATCCATCATCTGCTCATTTTATACACAACTGCTTTTTCCATTGTCACTTACACTGGGATCTGTTTTCTTTCTTTCCCGAGTCACAGCCATGTTTCTCAGCAGGCTGAATGGGCGAAGGACTCACCTTCCTGTGAGGTCAGAGGAAGGGAGTGGTTCTATTAGTCATCTGGCATCTGGGGCTGTCATCGGGACTCCTGGGGACAGAGGCCTTTCCAGGAGTCATCACCACCACTGAAGGCCACCAATGCACTCTCCTGATACTGACACGGACCCCTATCCCGCACTGACCCCTGCCTGCTTCACTTTCTCAGCAGGATCTTGAACTGAGGCTCTGCAGTCCATGTCTCAGAGGCTTCTCCTGATGTTGCTAAATCTAACCATTATCTGTGAAAGGAAATCAGGGATGGGAGCCATGCGAAGTGTGTGTGAACCCTCACCTGTAGGACACTCCCTGGAGAGATTCCCCAGGGTCCTTTCATCCTAAATCTTCGGGAGGTAGAGAGCCCAGGGCTGTGACCCCTCCCTGTCCTCGTCCCTTTCTCCAGGGTGGGCTCACAGCACTGTCCACAAGAGATGCTGTCACTGACAGTACTGACAGTCCTTAGTGACCCTGGTGGAAATACTCAAAGCTCCTCTAAGGGCTGCCATGCCCAACTCTGCGTCCCCTGTGTAACCAGCAGTGTTTTAAGCACAGGGCAGCAAACGCACTGCATGGGCTGAACCGCTGCAGATCTAAGCTCTGGAGCTCAGTAGAGCTTTTATATCTGATAAGGCCAACAAGAGGAGCACAATAGGGATATTGGCTGATTCTTGTTTTAGGAGAACAACCATTGTTTACCAATCATAGGAGCATCAAGAAAACTGGGATATCAGTCACACATTGTTCATTAGGTATTCAAATATAAAAATTGTTTTCAATACTGCTGCACTATTTTATCTGAAAATTGAAGATAAAACAAATACTATAGTACTAGGACTACACATGGTATTGAATTTATCTTAATGCATGGAGAGAATAGTGAAGTTGAAAAGCTCTTATCAGAAAAAGCCAAGGACATCAGGATAACATGTAAGTCTTACTGAACTTGCCTCTTCATTTCTGCAGCTGATGGAAACACAGTCAGGGAACACTGATGAGGTCGCCTTCATCCTCAGCCTTGAGCAATGTGAGTGGCTTTCAGCCAACCTTGAGCCCAGGAAGTGATGATATTCTGAGAGGTCACAATCATTACCAACTTCAGACAGGTGTTGCAGCTGCGGGAAAAGCCAGACAGAGAATCAACAAAAATGCTGATGCAGTCCCACCCAGCAACAGCTCCCCTGTCCAAGGAGCCCATGGTCACTGCCCACCGCTTGCTGGTTTCCCTGAGAGCTCTGGGGATGCTGAGGTGATAGTTTCTCTGTCTCTGTCTGCACAGTTCCCAGCTCAGGCCCCAGCACCTCAGATCTGAACAGCACTCACTCAAGGACAGCACCAAAGTGCCTGCCAACCTCCCATCATCACAAGGACATTTCTGCACATGTGTCGTCATGCATGGGCTCCTTCTCCAGGAGGAAACTGTAACTGCCTGAGAGAGCAGCCTGCCCACACAGACCCCACCTGCTGACGTAGACCTGCCAGCTCTGCTGAAACGGGACCAGGACCGTGCTCAGGGCCTCCTCTGCTACTCTCCTGTCCGGAGGCACAGCATCTCCACCCTGTCCACCACATTCTGTGCTGCCACACCCCTACTGCAGGGTAAATGCCACATGGTGTTCAAACTGCTAGTGTTCTCCCTCTCAGAGCTTTGGGAAAGTGAGAAAGTCTGTTATCTAAACTCCCAAGTTTTAACACAGGGTGAGAAAAACTGAGCTATTACCAAATACATGAAAGATGCTGTGGGCAAACTTTCACCTAATGCAAGTGGAGAACAGGAGGAGATCGCTTCTCAGCCTCCAGCTAAGATTGAGTGAAGGACAGACAAATCTCACTAGTTCTGAGGCAGGAGTCCCCTGTCCTTCACCTCCCTAAATTATAGAACAGCTGAAGGTGTGGTTTCCACCTTCTCCCACCGAGTTATTCCTTCTACACTCACACTCACCTGGCAGGCATCTACAATGAGGGCAGCTCCCAATTCTAGTCCCTGGCGTCTGGGCTGGGCCCTCACAGTCCTCTCTTCCTATCCTTGGACTGGGTGCTTCCAGGTCACATAATCCTGCTCTGAGTCCACCCAGGGGAGCTCCTTGGCCAGGTGCACAAATCCCCTGTGGAATCCCTTTCCCTCCTGACCGCACTGCAGGCTGTGCCTGGAAGGCTGGAGGATGTGTGCCATCCTCAGCATCCCTGCTGCTTCTCATCCAACTTGTCTTCCCGCTAACCTTTTCCCATTCCACCTGCTTCGCCACGACCTCATCCACTCTGAGGAATTCTCATCCACTTGTGCCGACTTTCTCTCTTCCATCTGCACCTTCATTTCTGGTTTCTCAGGATGTGGGCTCAGCTTGGGCTCCTGCAAGAGACATGGTTCCTTCTGTTGTTTAAACCAGTGAGTTTGTGGTCTTTTGTGACAGCAGCCCCTCAGATAAAATCTCCCTGATCCTTCACCACAAAACCCCCAGCCCACTCATGTCTTCTTCCCGCAACTTACCACAGCGATGTGGCCACCCAGGGACATCCTGCTCATGACACACCCAGAGACCATGGTACTGACAGTGGACCACAGAGACCACCATACAGACAGAAGAAAAACAAATTCCTGGGCCCTCAGCTGGTTACTGATCAAAAGCACGATCTAGCCAGGCGTGGTAGAGCACACCTGTAATTCCTGCTCTAGGGAGATTGAGGCAGGAGGATTGCTGTGGGTTTGAGGCCGGCCTGGGGTACAAAGTGAGTTCAAGACTTGCTTGAACTATATATCAAAACCCCACCTCAAGGAAAACTAAAACTAAAACAAAAACAAAAACAGCAGCATGATTTGTGCTACTTTGTTTTTTTCCCCTTAAATTCTTATGGGTACATTTTAGGTATACAATACATTTGCATTTATCATTGAGTACTTGTACCTTTACATGATATATCTTGGTTCTTATTTTTTCCCCATTCCCTGTCATCCCTCCACCCCCTCCACCATTCAATATTTACAAAGACTTTGTTTCCATTTTTTCCTTTTCTCATAATTTTTTCCTTTCCCTTCTTTCCTTTCCCCTACCTCTCCCACTTCCCCTATGCCTTTGGGCCTTTTCTTTCTATTTCACATTATCAATTATTCATTTTAATCCTTATGTACACTCTCAGCTTCTCACACTAGAGAAACTATTCGGTATTTACACGTGTGTCCTATTTATTTCACTTAAGACTATGGCCTCAATATGCATCCATTTAGCTATAAATGTCTATAGTTTCTCTTTATGACTGTATAGTACTCCATTTTATAAAAAAAAACACATCTTCTTTATCCAGTTTCCAGTTGATGGGCACTTGGGCTGTTTCCAAGCTTTAGCTATTACAAACTGTGCCACTATAC